TTGTCCGGCAGAGTTATGTTCGGAGGAGACAATTTTATCAATAAAACTGTTCTATCATTTAAATACTGCGTAAACCAGACAAAGGAATCTGGGTCTGCAGAACGAACCCTTAACTACTTCGAAAGCATTCTGTGTTTGGTTTAATAACTCTATGTGGTCTAGCACACTCGATATTCTGCTTACAATAAAGTAAATTCAAATTAAAACTAAAACTTTCTGGAGTTCAAATTCTACCATTTACTTACCCTCAGCAGTAGCAAGACGGTAATAGCAATTATGCCTAACGTAAAATCGCCGTAGCGTATTTTGTCTAAATTCATAAAGACGGACTTCATTGTATTTAAAAATCCGGAACCACCGCCACCACCACGAATGCCCAGTAGGCCCTAAAAATCAAAAGAGATCCTTAGTAAAAATATTGCTAAATCACAAAAGGGATCAAAACCTCTCCACCATATATGTATGTATGTACACTAGGGTGCATCACCAAAAAAAGTCGCAGTTTTTTCCAACATAATTATAAAATGTATTCTATTTTAAGAATTCTGCTGAATTATTTCGAAAAAATATTAGGATTTACGTGCAAATACCTCAAAAAAAATGTATAAATCAAATCAGTTTTTTTAAATATATTTTCCAAAAATCAACTCCGATGACAGAATAGTTGAAACTTAAAAGGTATGCATAAAAATCGTTGAACATTTTGCCAACGGAATGGAGATAATAAGATTTTTGGAGTGATGTTCAAATCGGACCAACTCACTTAAGTCTTAATGTTTTTCCGAAATATCTTGGCGAAGGTCTTAAAATATAATACATTTTATAATTCCGATGGAAAAATAGTACCGATTTGATATTTTATGTTATTTTTTTTTATGCAGAGTGATGCACCCTAATGTACGTATGTACTTACTTTCAGCTGGGAGGTGCCAATAATAACCGCCGTTGCTGAGGTGAAACCGACGGTAACTGGCAGTGAAATTAAATCAACCAGTGCGCCTATAAGAAAATATGAAATTGAAAGTTGTCACATAAATAATTCATAAAAAACCACACACACACACCTAAGCGCAGCACAGCCATTAGAAGCTCAACAATTCCTGAGATCAAGCACAGCAATATCGCATAAGCTGGACCTGAATTCAACCCGAAACTTGTATGCCGGCTAGTCATTAGCGCCAGCAAAGCTGTGGGACCGATGGTGACTTGTCGACAGCTGCCCAAGAAGGCATACACAATGCCGCCAATAAATGCAGAATAGAGTCCATACTAAAAATATTGAAATTAAATTTCTATGCATTCGATAGTCGTGCGTATTTAGGTAACACTCGCAGCACTCACTTGTGGCTCCAGCCCAGCGAGCGTCGCATAGGCCAAACCCTGCGGTAGCACTGTTAGACCCACTGTAATGCCTGCAATCATATCAGCCACGGCATCCTGCGTCGTATAGCCGTGTAACCATTTGATGCCCGGTAGCAGCCGGTAAGCGAAATCGATCGGTCGCATGACTCAATAAAACTGAAATGAAAAATTGTTAGGTAATGAAAACATTTTTTTAACAAAAATTTTATGCACATTATTAAGTTACAAATAATTTTTTAATAATAGATAGATACTTAATTACAGGAGGCAGGGAGGATATGTATGTACATTAGTTTGCACCACAAAAAAGTTACGATTTTTCCGGAGGAATTATTAAATTTATTATATTTGAGACTACCGGCAAAATATTTCGGAAAAAATATTAAGATTAACGAGAGCTAGGCCGATTTGAAAATAATTCCAAAAAATCCATTATTTTCATTTTTAAACATTTTTATGCACATTTTTTAAGCTTAAACTCTTCTTTCTATCAACTCATTAATTTTTTATCAGTTAATTTTTTTATATTTTCAAAAATAAATCGATTTTTCAGGATTTTTGAGATACGTTCAGTCTCGATATTTTGTTTATGGGGAGTGATGCAACCTAATGTACAAACATATATGCATATATTCCGCGTGCATAAAAATTTAATACTATTTTTAAATGATCATCTCTGTAATTTTCCTCAAGTGCGCATGTTGAGTTGCTGAGCTCCAATTATTTTTTTTCGCGGCTTTGAATGGAATTAAATTCTGAAACTGTCTCCATTGTATGACAATAATATGTGTTCATCCATTGTTGTATATTTTAATGCAGTAATTTTAGCTTATTAAATTCTATTTATATTGTTCCATTGAATAGAAGTTAACATACATACATATGTACATATATACGTAGTTATTATTGTAACAGCAGTTTCATCTGAAAACTCGTTTATGCACACCAATTTAGATTTCTACCGATGTAGAAAAAATGTCGCTAGAAGACCTGGTCCAATACCCTCTTACCGGGATGCGTAAATTCAACAGATCTCGATAGCAGGGGAGTATAGCGAGTAGATGTTTTTGCATCACCCAAAGCAGAATGGGAAATCAATAGTTTTGAGCCCTACAAATCCCCGGGAGTTAGGGGTATTTCTGGATATTTTCGGAGCTTTCAAAGCTTCAGTTCGCCAGGTTAATCAGGCGGGCATGCAGAGGCACATCGCAAGATGGTGAGAGTACACCAATATTATGGCTACTAACGGTCAATAAATTACTAAAGAAATGCAAGGAGAAAGCACCCAAACTAGTGGCATATGCAGACGATATGGCCATAATATTTAGTAGTAGGTTTGATAAGGAGGAGGTATGGAGGGATCAAACCTAGCCGTAGAGCCCTCGACATTTTCGCGTACGGTTCTAAAATGGTAATGGCAGTGGGTGTCGGAATATACTCCCAGGAAGTGGATGTCAGGTGGGCAGTAAGGTTACCTGACCCGTGCAGCATATTTTAACCCTCACAAGTCCAAGGTCGTATTATTTTTTCTGTTTTCAGAATGTGGCACTTATTCATTTGTATATTTTTGTTATAAAATTTTAGACAACAATTTTTTTTCAAAATTACGAAAATATATCATAAAAATATTTTTTTTAAAATTTTAATTACTTAGAAAAAAATATTTTTTAAATTTTTTGAGCCAAAAAAATAGTTTTATACGCAAACCCCCATAATTAAAAAAAATATGTTAACCCGAATAAGAAAAAAATTACCATCAGAAACAAAGATTTTTTGGAAAAAATTTCAGTGAAATTATTTCTTTCGAGAAAAATTATTTTTGGGAATAAAAATAATAAAAAAATATTTAGGGTAAACATTTAAGGAGAAAAAATTGTTTTTTTATGAAAAAATCATTTTAGTTAAAAAATATAATTTTTAAGATTTTTTATGAAAAGAATTATGTAGGAAAAATTATTTTTTAGAAAAACCATATCTATCAAAATTACTAAAAATGTACCATACATAAAAAAGAATAATTTAAAAAAAAACAAAATTATTTTGGAAAGAAATAGTTTTTCTAGGAACAAATTATGAGTTTGATTCAAATTCTTTTAGAAAGAAATTTTGGGGAAAAAATTTGCTTAAGTTGAAATTAATGAACATTTTTAGAAAGTTATTTTTTTTTAACTTAGTCCCCGATAAATCAAAATGTAAAATTCAAATCATGATTTTTTTATTCGCTGGTCCTAGGAGCTTTAAGCAGTTTTCGCTAATGATAACAGCAGAGCTAGCCTACGGGAATCAACTTAAAAGCAAACTTATACATACGTAGACGGCCAGGCGGCAATTAAGGCAATTCATTTGGTATTTCAACTAAAACGTCCTTTGCAGCCATTTATAGGCTGCAGAAAAACTATGTGCGAAAACAGAAAAGATGGCAGACTTGCTTCCGGATTGTTTACGGGGCATATCCTGGTGGACAGGTACAGGAAGTGTCATGTCCCGCACTGTCAAAGAACACAACTAAAATTCTTAGGAGCCTATTAATTTGAGAACTTAGAGGATATCTCAAAAGAAGATGTGAAATTCGCAAAAAGCGTTGACATCCTTTGTGATGTCAACTTTGACGCCTAAAATCGGAACTCTATTTGACAACGCTAAGGACCTACCGATGTTTGTGTGTAAACGAGTACACTTTTCAACTCGGTTTGAAAAGGTGGTTTTGCATGTGGCTTGAATTTACTCGTGTTGATTATAACTGGGTAGAAATAATGCACAAACGTTGTATGAGATGCACTATTCAAAGTTAATTAAAAACGCATTATCTCTATAAAAGTACAATAGACAGTCGTTATACGGCCAGACATTTATTTTGCATAATTTGTTGATAACAATATAGAAAATGATAAAAAAAAATTAATAGACGCTAGCTATTACTAGTCAAGGTATGAGGGACAGACACAATAACCTATTCAATGATTTAACTACAATATGTACAGGACAATGAGTCAAAACACTTGTGCTGTAGAAAGCTAATTAAAGTAGGAAGTAAAGAACTACAAAGGAAGTTACACGCGTTAGCCAAATATGTCTCCCACTAATTACGTATTACCGTGACAGTCAGTATCCCACACTGAAATTATTCAGGCCGTCGTTCCAGCATCTAATAATGTATATATTAACAACCCCGGACCGAATGTAGCCATCTTGAGACGTGCTCAAGCCGAAAGACTCCTTAGTCCTGGATAACATACTGTTGTCACGCCGCCAGTGAGCACATCATGCCCATAGCTATGTTTACCCAACAAGGTGCCTACATGGCATTAATAAGCTCACCTGAGCAATGCAACTTCTTCGCCTTTCTACCCATCGCCAACTTTCATCCCACTCCAACTCCTTTCTGAGGACTAAGCAGCAACTCTTGGCCCCTCACAATGTCTGTTCTCTGTGTCAGATTAGAATATACCGTAATTGCATATATTGGCTGGTGACACTTTCGATTTGGTTCTGGCCTGTGCACCATACGCGAGTGGACAACCCTCGTCGAAGAGCTTTGTAGCCGTAATCGTTACCTGGCAGCATCCCCACAGCAGCAAGGTAGACAAAATCTGTATCAGAATAAAAGCTCCCGAAACAGATGAAAATCTTACATTCTAACTGCAAGATCGTGAAAAGATTTGGATCGTAGGCGAGACAATAACGGTGGCTTGGGATTCTTCACAAATCACACCGTGTAGTATCGTCTCATCGATGCAGACATCACCTGTAGAGATATCACTCCAGAATGTCACGGTATTTCCATACCGTCAGGCGAAGTCGAGTCCGAAATATTAACCGATTAAAATTCCCCTGACTCTCGCTACCTAGAAGGATATCACCCTGGCATTGATGCATTATTTAGAAGAAAAAAGCTTTTTTTTCTTTGGTGGCTTTAAGAGGCATCACGTTTTTTGGCATTCAAGCCTACCAAAGTATCAGCGGTGACACGATTTGGCACAGAAGGTAAATGTTTCGACGATCTACAGCTTCGCGGAAGTTACCAAGAGTACCTTCACCACCCCCCTCATACTAAGCGAGTTTCTAATTGACGAACGTCAGTTTTCCAAGGCAATCACTGTTGCAGGGGCTCGCTTCTTAACGACCGGCCGTTAGGCAGAAATCCGTTCTAATTCCCGTCCAAAAATGCTGCACTGGCAAACGGGAATGGCTAAGTCTGACAGATCGATCCCGGAGATTCGATGACTTTGCAACTGGTAGAGCAACACAAGCAGTAGAAGTGGGGCGATTCTTCTATAGCCTAGAATATATTCTGCATCCTTCAATGAATATGGCCAAGCGTCGAGTGATAAAAAAGCTGTACAGACCAGAGACCAAAAATAACTGTTATCCCGAATTTACATATTGAAAACGTTGCCCGAATTCTGAAATTTGACGAAAACGTTGTTTGTTTTCGCCGATAAGACTTATAACCCAAAATTTATTTTTTACGTTGCTTGATAACAGTTATTATCCAACGTTTTTTTTACGTTGTCTGGTAAACGTTGTAAGATAAGAATATTGACAAAAACGGAAATGGAGATGAAGAAGAAGATAAAGATGACGAAAATAAAAGAGGAGAAGTGAAATAACTGTTATCAGACAACGTAAAAATAAACTTTGGGAAATAACTGTTATGAAGTAAATGTTGGGTTATAAATCTTATTGGCGAAATAAAAAATATTTCTCATCTAATAACTGTTATGGAACAACGTTTTTCCGATAAAACTTATAACTGTTATGACATTCGTACAGACTGCTTAAACCAGTAATTTTCACCAGCGGCGAAGTTGAAAAGTCCATCGAGAAGGCACAAGTCTACAGAGAAATTGTTCCCGATGCTGCATGCGAATTGATACATAAATCCAAGGTGTGTGCCTCTTTACCAAAGTCCGCCACATGTCAATAAACACCCCCATCATTCCTGACTTGTAGAAGGCTGGTCTGATGGAATTATAACCCCAACATTTTTGAAGTCACTTTTGATAATATGCTGGCGTCGCAACTAAAGTACAGAGAGTTTTTACACTTTAAAAAAATATTTTTTTTTGGTTTACTAGGACGAATATGTAGTAAAAATGCCCTTTTAATTAATTTTATTTTGCGGCCGTGTGTGTATTAGTTCTTGACATATAGTTTTCTCAAAAAAATAAATGCTGGACATTTTCAAGGAATTTTTGAATAAAATTTTAAAAGTACCTAAAAATTTAAGTACCTAAAAAATTAATTATTTTTAATTCTACAGAATTTTCTCCCTTATTTGATACTCTAGTGTTATTCTACATTTCACTGAAGGTTTTAAGTAATTTTCTAGTAGTAACTAGAAAATTTCAAAATCCTTATAAAAAAATAATCAAGACGCCAGAGAGAAAAACTAAAAACGCAGAATTTATTAATTTTTGCTCGTGTGTAAAATTGACTGACGCACGGTGCTGTCGAAAATGTTTGAAATCGGGGAAAAACGACCTTGCAGTTTACAGAATGGTGAAACCGCCATATTTAATACGAGCGTCCAGTATATAAACTTGGGCTTCGTTCGAACTTATACTTTTTTACAGTTTTTTTTTTGTATTTTTCGCGCTTTAAAATTCTGTTTAGTAAAGAAAATCTTTTACTTAATCACAATTTTCACATACATAATTGTATACTCTTTCAACTAAAAAAAAAAAAATCTTTACTCACATTCGACAGTTAACTATAAATTTTTGTATTGAAAATCTATAGCTAACTGCCGAATGTGAGTTAACTCGTCGCTGTGAAAACGGCACTTATGGATTGTACACTTGCTAGGCACTTTTAATAAGAAAACAAGATTTTTTTCGTATTGCAACGAAACGACTTGCAGCACCGAAGTAGAACTACTAACTTAGCGAAATTGTGAGGTAGAGTATCTTATCTTGATATTCAAACAGATATAGTATACATATTACAATCGTAGCATTTCAGCTGAATTTGTTTATTTTTTATTATTCCCTTTGAAATGCATCCTTTTAAGGTATTTTTAAATTCATCACAAATGGGTACACAAATATTTAACCAGTTGTCACCTGCCAGTGAAATTTCTTTTTTGAATACGAATTTCTTCTGTACACATTTTAATATCTAATTTTTCGTTTAAATTCTAGAGCTAGTACAAAAGCAAGCATTCATTATTTTTTTACGATTAAGAAAAGCGATATTTGTTTATTCCTTGTATTTGTTTACGATTACAATTTGCACAAGTGTTTGCCACTACATATTTTGTTTAACTATTTTGTGTTAGTATTTTTTGTTTACAATTTTTAGGTGAAGGCTTTGATATGTATTTCTCTATATTTGTTTGTTTGCCTGTTGCTCATTGCCATCAATTTAGCCCAACTGGGTTTTATAGCACTTTCTTTAGCTGTTTACTTTCCGAAATAATTAATCAATATTTAATAGGCACAAACTCTATATGGCACTTAATTTTTTTTTCTTTTCTCAAATGTATCCATCCATTTACATACGAGGCATTTACGCGTTTCCATGAATACCCATAGTATATGTTTTTGTCTACCAGCGTATATGTATGTACATATGTATGTATATGTATCTATATACATGTTTATTAAAGAATATTGTAAAAACAAAATGCGTTATACCCAACCCTTTTAGCCTCTTTAGCGAGCTCGAAATTTAGAACGTCCGTCAACGTTTAAATCAAATCAAAAACTGATCGACCTTAAACACCCAGACCGATGGCAAACTCCTACTGAGCGAACACAGTATGCCGGCAACCGGCTCAAACCTCGCCAACTAAATAGTACGTTATCAACAAAAGTATCGAAACGATTGAAATATGTATGTACAGTGGGACATATCCCTATCAGTTGAGGCAATAAATTATTGAAGTACTATAATTACAAGGCCACCCCTTTTTGTGGGTCAGTCTAATAAAATTTAGATGATTTTCGTTGCATTCTACATCATACACTCAGGGCTCACTGAAGTCTATAGCTTATGTTCACCACTATTTGCGGCTGCAATCTGTCGTCTGTCTTGGAGTAAGCGGCTCGCTATATAGATGTGTATTCGGCTAAGAATCCACCCCCTCCCAGCGATGGGTTGTGCGCTGGTTTTAGTACCCGACACGTAAAAACCCCTTCCAGTGGAAAGCAAACTATAGCCTCGGATGAGACCCACAACCGACCACCAACCCCCCTCCCACCCCCACCCCTCCCTTTTTTGAAGACGACCACGGCAAATATTTAAAGTACCACGATTTGAGGGCATGCACCTGGAATATTCGGGGAGGGTGCCTCTGTTCGGCTTGTTGATGTCCTCGTTAGTACAAAAGCTGACATCACCGCCATCCCAGAATATGGGCGAGACAAGGCAAAAAATGTGTGTGGCCTTACGACGTCTACTATAGCTGCCAAGTAAAGGAGCGCAAATTCGGCAGCCAAGCTAGCACCCGCCTCTGTGCAGCAAAAAATGTGCGTCCAACAATGCGAGGAAAGCTCAACGTCGAAAATCTGCAATCACAAGTGACGCCCAAAGCATTCGCCTCTCGCTTGCTCTCAGAGAGCACAACAAGCCGACATTGCAGAGGAACCACATCCCAGTCGGACTTGGTTGCTTCCAAAATATACTTATGGCACAGCACGGTTCTTTTTCCACTTGGAAGTAGTTCAAAAAACATGAAGTCTTTAATTCCCTTTTATGAAGGCGTGCAACACAGCAAGAACGGTAGTTTAAGACGGCAATTTTGCATAAAGTGGTTGTTGTTGATTTGGAGAGCTTTGTAGAGTATTTATTCTCGATCGGATTTATTTGACGAAGTCAAAGCATTACAAAATGCTGACTTTAGCAGTAAAGTTTTGACGACCTAAAGATTTTTAGCCTTCCATAGTAGTGAAAAAGAATGTATGTAGCTATTTCTTCATGTATATTTTTTCTAATTTTTCCTACAGAATTTAAATGTGCTTCAAATTCTTGTGAAAAAATACCAATACTCTAAAAGGCATTCTTATGGAACACCATTCTGCATGGTCAGACTGGGATTTCCCGCAGCCGAAAAAGCAGTCGGATTTCAGCGAGCCCGAAAAAATAACTGGCACGATTAGGAATGTCAACAAGCAGCAGATAAAACAGATGCCGCCAACCGGACTACGCTGCGATCGGGCGCAACGCGAGCCATGCGGGGTTGTTATAAGGAGTTGAAGAGTGAGACATATTTGCTGCAAATACGCGAGTGCGAAGAGCATAAAATGCTAGCCGACAGGAAAAACACCCGCAAATTTTAGCTGGGAGTGAGGCAACGGAAGGTTTAAAGACTAGAGGAAACTAATGTAAGTACCACCCTTGCGACCTAGTGACCGATGTCGAGAACGTGCTTTAATTATATAGGGAACACTTTTCCATTCTACTGACTAGTAGCAGCACTGAACATTGTGGAGAAGACAAACTCGAGCCCCCAGTCAATGGTGACAAATATAGAAAAATAAAAGGGATCGTATTTTGTTGAAACTCCTACAGGAATTACTTCACATTTATTTCAAAAATTCAATCGGTATTTTTGTACCGGTTGCCTATTTTGAGAACTCCGGGTTTTTAGCACCGGTTATCAATTTTGAGAAAAGCGGAGTGATCACGCCTATTTTATTGATTAGGGGTATTTAAAATATGAACTCGAGTTTTTCCTACCGGTTACCAATTTTGAAGAATGCGAATTGTGAGTCGGTCGATTATTTTAATTTAAAAAAATTTTAGTATTTTGCGTAGAGATTTGCTTATATATCAGTTTTTTTTCATAATAACCGTTATATGATAATTGATTGGTTATTTGGCCGATTTCACCTACATACATATTTCCTCTACTCATGAATATATCAAAATAGTGTATAAAGTGGGTTCCAAATTGAAGTGCGACAGGTACAAAAAAAGCGATTTCATTTTTGATGTGACCATAATAAAAAAATAGGCGTGACTACTCCGCTTTTCTCAAAATTGGTAATCGGTACCACAATCCCAGAGTTTACAAAACAGGTAAACGGTACAAAATCCTATTTCATGTTTGATATCAACGTGAGGTAATCCTTGTAGGAGTAAAGTTTCAACAAATTACGGCCTCTTGAATTTCTCTACATTTGTACATTTGTGCGTCACTGCGATGCGTTAATTGTCAATAGTTTTTATTTAATTAGAAATATTTTCTGTCCAATTGAGAGACAGGACATTTTCTTATTCTGATTAAAATATTTTTCTGAACAGCGAGGTACCTTTTTTCCGCTGTGGATGTACGCAAGGGACGATCATCTACGTAAGTATGTTAATAATTTTGACACTCAACTTACTTTTTACGCCTATCGACCCACTGTGTCAGATTCGCTCTCGTTTTTCACCCCGATTCCTTCACGCATTGTGACTGTGATTTCTGTGTTCGTTGACGTTAAATTAAAAATTTAGAGCGCACGCCAGAGTTTGACCTGCATTGGCACGTTCAGCTGCTGTGTTCTCTTTTGCCGGTTTGCGATCACGTTTTGAGGATAAATCTACAGAGACAAACCAGATGAATGCGGTTTCCACATGAGATAGGCCAAAACAAAAAAACAACTACACATATTTAATAAAGATCGATAGCTGGGATGTGAATTCACGTGCATTTATACATACTACATACATACTAGGAATGTTAATCCCGGCCTTTTTTAGGTCCCGAAAATCCCGGGATTCTTGGCAAATAATCCCAGGATTTTCGGGATTTGTAATTTGCACTAATGGCAATAATAGATACTACTTTTCTTGACCAGTATTGGCTATATTTATTTTTTTATTTAATAATTAATATTTTTTTTTTATAAATGTCTAGCTCATTATACATATAACATCGTGCGATAGTAAATTTTACACACAAAAATCAATATATTCGCGAAACCATGGGCCAAATATTGTAAAATTGTGTTTTTAGTTTTTCACTTTGACTTCAGTAATTCAAAAATGATTAAAACATTTCAGTGAAATGTGCTTAGGGAGGAAGTGTGGGTACCAAATTAGAGAGGAAATTCTGTAGAATTTAATCAGATTAAATGTTTTGGTGCATAAGGTCTGGTAAATATTGAAAATGTGCTTTTAAAATTTTATCCTTGTAATTTCGCAATATTTGTTTCGAATTTCGTCCTTCTAACTTTATCAGCTTAAAAAATTACCTAGTCGTCCTTGTGAATCCAAAAAATTTTTATTTTTTTTAATTCTAAAGAAATTTCCTCTTTCATTTGGTACCCATATTTTTATTCTACATTGCATTGAATTTTTTAAATAACTTTTGGAATTAATCATATCTTTGAAATTACAAAGCCCTTTAAAATAAATCCTGCCGTCAGAGAGAAAAAATAAGAACGCCACTTTAAATAAAAAAGTGGGTTTTAAACCCATTTATTTATTATTTATTTTATGGTATTTAGGAGAGGTAGAAGCAACTTTTTTCGATTTAAGTTGTTGAAAAGTAATGAATATCTTAATCCCGGGATTAATCCCGGGATCCCGGGATTGTGATAACGAGATCCCGAAAATCCCGGGACCGAAAAAGCGAAAAAATTAACATCCCTAATACAGACATATGTATGTACAGAAGTGCTACATTTAAACATTTGTAAATGGAACCTACTCCCATTTTTATAAGCTTTTTTCCTTTTGTTATTTTATTCTTTATTTGCACACCACTCAAAGCAGTATCAAAAGTGTTGAGAATTAATTGGAAATGAAATTGGAATTAATAAACCAATTGAAGTGATCAATATTTAGTAAAGTAAATACATATTATGGCGACATATGTAGAAACTTTCATAATTACGAGAGTTAATAAAAATTAGTAAAGTTTTAAATGAGACTACGGAAAAAACTTGTTACATTATTTTAGCTCCATCTACTGTTGGGAATATTTGCCTCAGACTAGTAGAAGGCAGGTATATCTCAATATATCTGCGAAATGTACGCCTAAGTTGGACAACACGCCCCATCACATATCTAAATCATACAGACCTATAAGCCTAGCTAGAATGAAAGATGTAACTATTCTCCTTATGCTTTTAGACCCATATATTTATGTACTAAGATGGAAAAGGTCCTACGCCAGATGGAATACCTAACAAGGCTTTGAAAGCTGCAATTAGCGAATGGCCAGATTTATTTGTAAAAGTTTTTCAGACTTCGATGGCTCCCGACTAATTCATCTCGACTAGGCGATAGCCGTCAATCTATCCGATCTTGAACGCCGTGCGAAAGACTACCTTAACTCGATGAACTATCCTAACTTTGTACTAACTCAGCGTTGTTAGACTACCTACCCTAACTCAGACCTGCCTATTTTTTGTAACTTAACTCCATAGCTTAACTTTCGAATATTATTCAGAGAGATCGAGAGAGAGAGACAGATTCTGAAAGTACTGTTCTATCAAGACAATGCACGGGTATACACCACGTGTAGTCACCATAGAACAAATCCATCACTTTGGCTACGAACTCCAACCCGATCCACCAGATTAAGCCCCCAGCGACTATTTCTTATTTCCAAAGCCAAAGAAATAACTGAGCGGTAAGAGATTTGAATCGAATAAGAGGCCTGGAATGAATATTTTGAGCTAAAAGGAGATTATGTTGAGAAATACAACTCTTTTTGCCGAAAAATATGTCGTTTATTCACTGACTTTTCAAATTGCTCTCGTAAATTCAGTGTGAAGTACATATTTTCCGTATGATCTCAGCCGCCGAAGTCGGTATGAACACGGAGGACTGTTAGATCATTTTTATTAAATTCGATTATCGGTAATCTCTCTGTCATAAGCGCAAAGCGGTTGGGGGCATCCTTCCTTTGAGGAAAACCAAATTGGTATGCTCTGTGGGTGCTGGCTTCCCCAAGCTCACTCAAGGGATCTTATTCGGCCAACCACGGACGGCATGGACAGTTTGTTGGACTTAGCAATAACGTCGATTATTTTTCCAACAAGAAAGCATTTATAAGTAATGATTTATAAGTAACCATGAAATATTATGACCAAGCCATTATGAGCACTTAAGACAATTTTACAAAGCTGCACGGCACGTAACTGTTATTATGCACAGAGGTGCTTTAAACGTAGGGATTTTGTAGATCATACCACGAAGATACTTTCGATACAATCTAGCAATACTCCAGATGTTGCAACATCTTACGACATGCAAGTATTTACTATTAACTACAATGCGAGTACTTCAACACTTGGCAAGTGTTTTTCTGATGAGGAAGCTATTGAAACGTTCTTTTTTATATCTACATACATATGTACATACAAATCAGTCAACAGAACTTATGAATTTTAAGTTTGTGTAATAGTCTAAAGCTTTAAGCACTTGCATGCTAAGAATACTTCAAAGTGTATTTGACTACCCGCCTTATAGACGTTTATATAGGTACATAGCAACTGGTGAGAGCAGCAATCACTCTAGCAGAAATCCTACCTGTCTAGGAGGTGATAAAACTGTTTACCTAAGTGGTGTGCACTTATATTTGGGCTAGGCGACATCTTAGCGGTAGGCTCAGGCGGAGAATTTTTCCTCCTACTCCAGGTCGCTTTCATCGGTAATGAAATAATGCTGATGGTATAACGCTCTCATATTGAGAAAAAAATTTCGGTTTAAAGCCGGAAGTACGAGATGTCGCCAAGTTGTTCCCTTCACTTTGAGAGAAAACTCATCGGTCATCGCTAGGTTAGGTGAGGTTTGGTTAAGGCAAGTGGCTCAGTTAGACGGTGAGCGTTGGTCCTTCGTATTAACCGCTAAGTTCAAGCAAGAATCGCTTCGTGCAGAGAATAAAGTTTCGCAAGCGGCAGATATTAGTCCCGGAGAGCTCGTTCGGACTCGTTAGAAAGTGTGAACTCAAGTGCATAAGCCGCAAACTATTTAACAAAAGTTGTGCAGTCTAAGATAAAGTGTTGAGATGAATCCCCCTGGTCGTCCGCAATGCAGCTGTGATAAAAGGGGTCTGGTGTGCTATTTAATCTCACTGCATGATAGATCAGTGGCCTGTCAGTACACCCACCAGAATCGAGAGATCCAGCTTCGATAGTCTAGAGAGATCCCTAGAACATTCCCGATCCACCCTTGGCCAGAATGTCCTCGCAGTAGCACATGGCTTGATTTAACGCCAGCGTTCACTCCTCAGTCAGTAGTCAAATAATCACCCCCTCTCTCTTTTCTTAGCGGCATTGCTTCGAGGGTACCGCCGCTGACCAGTTCATCAGCCACGCAGTTACCTGTGATGTCACTATAGTCTGATACCCATACATGTCTGACAAGATAATATTCCGACGCGTTCGAAAGTAAATTAAGGCATTCCCTAAAAAACTTCGAGCGTACCATAAGTAAACACAGGGCTCTGATTGCTACCCGGCTGTCGGAGTTGATGTTGGCCTACTTTACCGCTATCTATAAAAGTGTACCGGTGTCTCCTTCCAGCCGCTGCCTACCGTCCACTCATTTCTTGATAGTATGTGCGTGGAGAAAGACCTAGCTGGTGCTAGGTTAGTCACGCAGGGATGAAGTCGAAGCCCTCGAGAATACCAGAGTATCCAAACCCCGAGTTAGTCAAGCAGCCAGTGCGCCTAAGTCTGACCGCCACCCTTGCTGTAGCTGCTTTACCTGCGATACCGGCAGGCGCTATGTTAAGTATGACATTAAAGGCCATTAAACGTAATGTGCTTAACTATTATTTTCTACAGACAGTAAATAACCTTGGTAGAAGGGCCCAATCTCTCTTACCCATTGCCCGTGTGCAGCTGTATAGAGCCACTGAAGCCTCACTTGCTCTCTCCTCGATATAAGGCCTTGGTACTTGACCATGTCAGAAAGCGACACGCAAATTCCCCCCGAAACAGGAAGAAGTGGCATGGGGTACCCTATACATATGTCCTAGTTAACAAATAGAGTTCCATTTTACTAGGATTTACAACAAGTCCGCAGTTCGCGGACCATCTAGTCATCAGGTTCAAGTATCCCTGAGTTAAGTCGTAGAAGGTATCCAAAAATTGTCCCCCCAATATAAGTGCTACATCATCCGCATAGGTAATCGTCCTGCGCCCTTTACTCGCCAGCTCCTCTAGTAGGTCGTTTACGACCACGATCCAGAGAAGGAGCGAAAGAATACTACTCTGGGCCGTGCCCCTGCTTACCCTGCGCTGGGCGGTGGCACCATTCTACACCACGAAATTTTCATCCAAGAGTACGCTGACTATAGCCCCCGGTAGTACATTGTTAAAGGTCGCCTCTATATCGAGAAAGTCACTCACGGTGAAGTGTTTAGGTAAGACAGCTTTCTCAATCGGCCACTCACTTGCGCACAAGCCCGTATCCACCGAACTACCCTACAAGCGATCGACCAGACTCTCCAGAGTTAAACAAAATCATGAGAGGCTGATTGGTTTAAAACAGCGTTGGGCAGAGAGAGCTTTTACTCTGCTCGCCTCTATACAAAATGTATAGAAAGCTCAAAAGGCTTTCGCCCGCGGGCAAAGCAGTGTCC